AAAAAAAAAAAAAAAAAAAAAAAAAAAAAAAAAAAAAAAAAAAAAAAAAAAAAAAAAAAAAAGTAAAACCCGGTCTTACCCGCGGTTTTGAGTCATTAGCCAAGTGGAGACAAAAGGATCGAGGTTAACGTTGATTTGTTTGTTTTTTATTTTATTTTTTTAATTGCATTGTTAATTTTGGCATGAGTAAATTACAAATTTGTCCTTGATAAATTATTTTATTTTAGTACGTTTCTTTTATATGTGTAAGTTCATTTTCTAATTAATTTAATATGTTTCTAAGTACTATATTTTAATATGCTCCATGGGCCTAAAAAATGCTTTTTACAAAGTACTAAACCACCGCTAACCCGCAAACCAATATTGGAACATGTAGCGGTTTATGTGGCTTTAATGACGACTCAACGTATGAGGTTGACATCGCCACTTAGTTGATGTTCACAATTCATCTTTTTACTTATATCTAATTTGATCTGTGGGTGACTTCGCGTTCTAAAGCTGCAATTGAGAGATACATAGTTTTGAGGTTTCTCTTCACTTGTGCATGTATAGCTCTGTAATGAAAATTTTATAATTCTTTCTTCTTGCCCTTGCTCGTGAACTCCTATAGCGTAGTTGTGGGGTTGAAGAACAAGCGTCGACATTGCTATGACTGTATGCAACGATTTGTTTCGCACTCCTCTTTAATGGAAGTTTTCTCCCGTCTTTGGAGAACGAATTGCTGGAGAGGATATTCAAGATGGTGAGCTATCAACATAGGTAAAATGAGAGGTATGTGAATAAACACATACAGCGTTTGAATTCAAGTAATTAAAAAATGATTAAAAAATACTTAAAATAATTGAAAGTTATTGCTTATACTAACCATGTGTATATATATATGTGTGTGTGTGTTTTTTGTGACTCAATCATGGGAACTCAATAATAGACGTGCTCTATAGCCGTTTTACTTTTATTGCTGGGTGACTTCGTGTAAATTTGTATAAAATGCATGCGACTAAGGATAGAGCATGCTTCAATGGCTCGCCTTGGTCGATGAGAACAACCTTCACTCTTAGAAGTGAAAAGTAACATAAATATGCCACAGACAGTGCAAATGAATGTCGAGCTTATCAGGTGTTGAATCCAGATCTGAATCCTAAGCATAAGCATTGCAAATGTCTCCCAATAAGGTGTGGTTTGATGACGGACCATGACATAAGCTGGTATACACGTAATGCCTGAGTAAACGAGGGGTGCATAAATGAATGAATATTACATATGGATGAGAGGGATTGTGAGTATATGATAACTGACAAATATTTAAAAGAATTAAAAGTTATTATTTATATCAACAAGGTATATGTTTATTTTTGATAGCTCGATTATAAGATGTAGAGGAATACTAGGGTCATCCTGATCCAATTTTTTGGCACCATCACAAATGATGGTTAATAAATACTTGAAATAATTAAAAATTAATATCTATATCGACGAAGTGCATATTTAATTTTTTATAATTCAATTATACGAATTCAAAACGTAAATATATTTAATTTTGGATGATTTTATGTTGACCGAACTTCTAATATGTAATTTGGTCATGTAGTTGGGGTGGAGAAACGTATTAATGTTAGTTCATGAGAATGGTCTTCACTTTAGAAGCAATATACGGCAAATAAATAACATAATATCGGGCATCGCAGATGAATGCCTTGACAATCACATGCAAATTTCTAATTCTAATTATTAATCATGAAATATTACCTAAATGTTAGGAAAATCAAATAAAGAATATAAATTTAAATTTATAGTAAAATTTAACTTCTAATTATTAATCATGAAAAAATCGAAATTTAGTAAAATTATTAGGTGCAAAAGACAAAAATAAAGATTCTTCTCGAAGATTCAACTATAAATATTATAACTCATAACTTTTGCCCTAGATGTCGGTTTCACCCTGCTGTTCCGCCGCTTGCAAGCGTTCAAACCTCTTGATCGCTCTGTTCTTCATCCGCCGGTCGTCGGACGGCATGCGTGCAAATGTCAGCTGCTCTCTCCAGTCGCATCTCGCCGGATTGTCTTTGAGTAGTATTGTTTGACATTACTGAAGAACGTCATTTCTTTCTTATTTATCGTCGTTTGTTCAATCCGACTATCGGAAGATTGATTCTAGACTGGAAATTGGCTGCTCACTTCATCTCCAGGCGCTTCATGCCGTTCGTTATGCTTCTCCCATAGCAGAAAGCAAACGTCCAGCGGCTAGAATTGCCGCTTGCCCTAAAGATAGGCTTTCTAGTCTTTCTTTCACGACAAGTTCAATTTCTTCATTAAGGTTCGTGCTCTCTCTTACGATCCCACACCAATTATCACACTAATTAGTATTTCAAAGGTTGATCATTCGATCTCCTACCTTTTTAAATGAAAAATGGGCTCGCTCATATACTTTTTAGGAAGATTCCTAGTAGGTCACCAAATATTGAATTCTTATAAGCTAAGCACACACTTTAAAGTTCCTGTTCTATCAAAAAGTACAATTTGCTTGTAATTTTCTTTTAGGGGACTCAATTATCAAAACTCTAAAGTTAAGTAGGCTTAGTTTGAAGCAATCTTATTTTGGGTAACCTCCTAAAAGACTTTGGGTAGCCTCCTAAAAGACCTGTGAGTGAGGAAAAACCGTGCGGAAAAGGTCTGTGTTAATCTGTGGGGAGAATCTTTACTCTTAAAAGTGATGGTATGACTTGTTGCAGGAATGTCAAGATCAATAGATGTCAAATTAGATTCCAAAATATTATTTGAACCAATGGCATATGGTATTACCCCTTCATTTGAGCGGTAACTTTGGCAACATCCCCCATGGAAATATGTTTTACTCTCAACTTGAGGAAATATTATCACCTTTGTTATCATCTCTACTCTTCTTGAAGCACCACCAAACTAGATAGTTTTCAAGGAAACTCGTCTTGTTGAATATGTGCTTTGGGTGGAGAAGATATCTAATCTTTAAGGACATTATGTCGAGATTGTGAAGTTTGGAGTGAATGGTGGGTTAAATATACTCATTTGTTCCCAATTGGGAGATTAAATTTGGTTGGAAATCCCTCTCAAAGACCTCAATTTTCACCAATCTACCACCATTAATTCCAACTCATCTTGCAAAGATATATATATATTTTTTTGTAGGAGATAATATCTATAATAGCCCAAGCCCATCGCTACTAGATATTATCATCTTTAGACTTTTCCTTTCGAGGTTTTCCTCAAGATTTTTAAAACGTGTCTACTAGGGAGAAGTTTTCACGTCCATGTAAGGTATGCTTTGTTCCCCTCTCCAACCAATGTGGGATCTCACAATCCATCCCCCCCTTGGGGGCCCAGAGTCCTCGTTGGCACGCCATCCGGTGTCTGGCTTAGATACTATTTGTAATAGTCCAAGCCCACTGCTAGCAGATGTTGTTCTCTTTTGGTGTTCCTTTTCGAGATTCCCCTAAAGGTTTTTAAAACACATCTACTCAGTCGAGGTTTCCACACACTTATAAGGAATGTTTCGTTCCCCTCTCCAACAAATGTGGGATCTCACAATATCATTGATGATTGAAATTTACAAAAAGGATGTAATATCCATGATGTTTACAAAATTCCTTCCAATTTATAGTGAGAATGATATAATTATAGAAAGTAACAATATTAGACAGTTTAGCCAAGAGATAGCTTGATAAACAACAGTGTCGAAGAGTTTTGTATAAGTCTATCTTTTTCGCGAATATTCTTTGATTTTTTTCTTTCCACAGATTCGGAAAGAAATTCATGTTGAAGTTTTCTTGCAGTAGATTTTTTGCATTCTTGAAAAGCTGGTACATTAAGGCCATGTCCAACAGATCCTTTACCTCCCTTGGAAATGTGAGATGCCATTTGAAGATATTGAGAATCGTTTTCCTGAAATTCTGAGCATATCTACCTTGCATAAAAAGTGGTTATGTTTATTTTTTTTCTTGCATAATGGGACTCAAATTTGGAAATAGAGTCAGGTAAGACCTTTTTTTTTAGATTTTCACTTGTGCTAAAGAGCACAATTATGCACTATTTCTCAAAGAAAGAACTTCACTTTTTTAGGTGATGTAATTTCCATACTATCTTTGCTAGTGTAGAATTTATTACTTCTACTTTTTTTCCTATGTTCATCATCAAGAATTTTGTAGTTAAGACCTCGTCAATGCTGGGAAGCCAAGTCAATGAGTTTGCTTTATTTGACAATATCATTGTGGCAAGGTTAAGACATTCGGCTCATTCCGTTGCTCCCTTATCCTTTAGGTTCCTACCAAGCTTTAGATTCCAGAATTTTGTTGACAAATTTTACGTTTCTTTGATCGTGACTCTTTTGCTGTGAGAGAGTTTGTACAAAAGTGGGTACTGCAAGGCTAGCGTGGTGTTTTCAACCCATGGGTCGATCCAGAATGATGTGGTTCCTCCATCACCCATCCCATGGCGAATTTGGTTGGTGATGAGGTTTTGATGTTTCTTTATGTACTTTTAGTGGCTTTTGCAGAAGATAGAAGATGGAGGGGGTTGATTTTTGCATATAGTAATATATTTAGGCTTTCCAAGTTTTTTCCACAAGACATTTTTTCTTTTTATATCCTAGCAACTTTTTATGGCATTTTGAATAGAGACGTGTAGCAAGTGAGGATGTTGGATAGTTTGGCTTGTAATAGTGTGGGTTGTTCGCCTTCTGAAGTATAACATGATGATCATGTTGGCAACCTTCTTTCTATTTTTTCAATAATACTCTTCCATAAGGTAAAAAGTTTGTGGTTTCCTTTTAAGGGTAATCCTAGGTACATATTTTTGCATTCACCCTTTTTACATCTGTTCTTCAATAGTCTACTGATGGCCATATTCTATATTTTTTTTTTGGAGATTGATATTTTGTCCAAAGAATCCTTCGATGGTTTTTACTGTCTTGATCATGTTTTTTATTTTATTTTTTTATTTATGGAAGAGACATCTGTCAAATCAGGAAATAGGATTGTGTCATCCACGAACTAAAGGTGGTTGATGCTTATGGCTTCGTTGTCAATCAGTAAATCTTTTATCTGCCTTTTGTACTCTGCTTGTCTGTGGATGACTGAGATAATCCATTACCATCCTGAAAAGAAAAGGGGACAGTGGATCCCCTTGTCTAAGACCCTGTGTGACAAATCTCTTCCTTCTCGGTCTTCCATTGATGATGATGGAAAAGTTTGTGGATGAGATGTATCCTTTTATCCTCCCTGCCATTTTGAGCCAAAGCCTTCTACTACAAGAATGTTTCGAGGAAAGTCCAATTGACCTTGTCGAAGGCCCTTTTCAAGTCAAGTTCGAGAAAAGTTCATTTGCCATGAGGGATGCATTGAGGATTTGTCGCCTCTCTACGAAAGCTGTTTGTTTCCCAGTAATTGTGAAAGGGAGAACCTTTTTAGATGTTCTTATAACACCCTTGCTATGCTTTTATATAGTCCAGTTGTTATACTTATAGGACAAAAGTCTGCAACAATGCAGGCATCTAGTTTCTTTAATTATCTAACAAATGTATGTCTTGTTTAGGTTGCCATGGATAACTCCATCTTAAAAAAAGAATCTTGGAACACACTCACGATATTGGCTCTCAGAAATTTCCAACATTTTTAAAAAAAATTCTAAGACACATCTTTCTGGCTCTCAGAAAGTTTTTGAAGATACTTTTTAGGCCAAGCCTTCAAGGTCACCACCTAGACATAACTTCGGTACTCCTTTGACGTCCTATGCGTAGCAATTTTTTTTTTAATATTTTAATATTATTTTTATTTTTAAGCAAACTCTTTCATGATGATTGGGTTGAGGTTTGAAGAGCCTTGCAACAATAAGTCAACAATTTTGGGTCCATCAACCCTTTACAATCGGACAAAGCCGTACTTGCACTTGAAGATAAAGACTAAGGCCAGGCAATATCAAAGATTGTGGTGGGACGTATATGGGGAAATTGGGCAATGGAGCTAAGATGTTTGCTTTAAGTATCTTAAAGTCCACTTGTTTCGAGGATGGATGAAGGTTTGAAATTTACTAATTGACCAATGGTGCATGGAGGTGTTCAAGAACATCGGTGGTGAATGTGGAGGTTATATCAAGATTGCCATCAATCTCATGAATAGACATGATGTAGGTTAGCATCAAATTTAAGGGATTTTCTTTTTGGTTTTTTTTTTTACCCGTCACTGTCATCCTGTCGTCCTGTCGTCCCGTCGTCCCATCTTCAGCTTGCTCTATCGTTATTGTCAATATTGACACATTTTTTTTGTCGTTAATCATTCAATCAAGTTTTTGATTGCATGGCAAAGCACCTCTTATGGCGGAAGAAGTAGTCTCACTATGTGTCACCATTGGATCCTCTTGCATTACTCACACGTTGGTTCCAAAATCTTGCACTATTCCTCAAGAATAGGCTACTCACGCTTCTTACCATCAAGTCTCAGACCTTAACCTTAAATTTGACTGTTGTATCAAACATCATAATGGATGATTGTCCTCCCAAACCTTCCCCTCCGCTACTGGCACAAAGCATAACTTTTAACCCGTGTACACAGCAACTCAAAAAGGATGCCATGCCTTATAAGTCATATTGTCCCTCTAACCTACTAGTTCAGTCACTTCAACTTGTTTCACCTACTCGATCCTAGCCCCATGGCTCCTATACTTGACCTAGCTTACTGATTAACTCAAAATATATTGAAACGCCCCATACCCGTGATTTGGATTGGGATTCACATTTTGGATACGGTGCTTGTGTTCCTCGACATTTTCCTGCCTTCTTTATGACATGGTCATGTTACTTCTTGCTTTTAAAAGTGAAAACTATTCACATTAACTAACATAAGTCCTTTCAGCATGCTTTGTGGCTCACATGTTGTCTAAAAAAATTTCCAAGAGGTCACGCAACATAGAATTTCTCAAGCACACTTAACTTTGGAGTTCCTATGATTGAGTCACCGAAAAATAAGGTGCAAATTGTTGGTATAGACAATAATTTTCAATTCTTTTATGGTGCACATTTCATCTTCAGGATTGTTCTTCATTCGGATGTGGCATTGGTTCGTTCGTGTACTCCTCCTTTACTCGTGTCACATACCCACTGTCTTTCGCCTCGGTTCGTCCTTGAACCACATCCTACCCGGAGAAGTATTGCTCTTACATCATTTTGTAACATCTCTATGTCCTGGATTTGGACCAAATTCGAAATTTGAATTCGATACCTATTTGCACTGACATTCCCTTGTATCTCTTGTGACATGGTCACTTTACTTCTCGCTTCTAAGAGTGAAACTATTTCCACAAATCAACATGAGTCATTTCAACAGATTTTGTCTTCACTCACATGCTTCTTAGGAAAGTTCTCTTGGGGTCACCCAACATAGAATTGCTTCATATAAAACTCTCTTAACTTTGTAGTTTTTATGATTGAGCTACCGAAAAGGAAGGTACATCTTGTTGGTACAAGTAGTAGCTTTCAATTTTTTAAAGCTTTCTTAGTCATATTATCCTCAAGATCGCTTTTATTTATGCCTAAGGCTTTGTCTATCTTCGTGTACCAAAGAAGATCTTAACTAGCTTATACGGTCCGGCCCTTATCCCATTAAGGCAAGAATTTTGTATGGGAGCTTTGTCATTCTTGTATCAACACTGAAGCTCTTAGGGGTGAACTCCATGGTTATACATGTATCCCAGCTATTCCATGCTAAAGCTTACTCTTCTAGTTTCTTTATGCAAGACACAGCTCTATGCTAGAGCTTAGTCTTCTAGTTTTTATGCAAGACACCTCTGGATTGAAATTAACAAGACTTGGTGCCATGATGATATCTCTACTCTTGTCTCTCTATTTCTTTTGGCATTTCCAAAATGACCAAAGGATCCTTTGGCTTAATCACGAGCTAGCATAAGTCAAATGTCTGAAAGAGAGAATTCCAAATGGATCTCGTGAACTCACATCCCCAAAGAATGTGGTCCAAGTCGTCCCCTGCCTTCCGACCAAGAATATGACAAAATGGGGAAACTAATGAGGGCAACTCTCTCTAAAGCCAATTTTATGTTTTGGTTAATTTACTCGTGGATAAGTTTTTTCAAGCCTCATGCTTTGTATCTTCTTTGAGTCCTCTTATGCAAAACTACAAACTAATATCATGTTGTTAATGTTTATTAGGATACACGTGTGGTAGTACTTTTGGCTTGACTAGAACAACCCTTCTGTGTCTTGCTCAGGATGATATCAGCTGACATTGTGGACTTGTCAAATGATGATGAGGAAGGATCAAACCTGAAAGCCGTGAAGTTGGAGCCAGATGTTGTTGGGGCTGTGATGCTACCAAAAGAGCACACGAAGAAAAATGTCATCAAACATGAAAAACCAAATACTGAATTTGTCAGTCAAAGATTTGATGAAAATAGGAGCCCCAATGTTTTGAGTGCTGGTCAAAGTAGCTCTAGTATATTGGATCAGGTGCCATCTCCAGCTGATGATTCTGGCCTTACATCCCCATCTCCCTTGTGTCCTGCACCAGTTTGTCGACAGTTCTGGAAAGCTGGCAACTATGATGATGCAGTTGCTGCTAAAGTCACTGTTCAAAGTACTATTCCGTTTTGCCATATCAGATTCACCATTTTTTAGTTTAAATATTGTGATTTTTCCCAGTTTTATTATGGTCTGAAAAATCATCTGATCTTGGATCGGAAAAATAGTAGTAATTTCAAAGTAATGCAGGATTGAACTTTTTATTTAGATGGCCTTGTGAGGAGCCATTGGATTCACTTTTGTTTCTGATGGTCTTTCACCTTGATGGCAGGTTCCAAAGGCCATCTTCATGTCCACCCTATGTTCCTTCATTCGAATGCTACTTCACACAAATGGGCCTTTGGAGGTATTGAACTGTTTTGTTTGTTTACATTTTTGTATGTATTTTAGTTGGTGAAATCAATTCAATTAGCTCAATCCTCTTTTGATCGCTTGATGAAAAGATACAAATCAGCGTTCAAGGAAACAATCTCCCAATTGTTTCTTGACATCAAACATCGTTTCTATTCAGTTGTTTCTTATAAATAAATAACCAAATTTTCTTTTTATTTCTGTTTCCAGCTGTTGCAGAGCTGCTTGATAATGCTGTTGATGAGGTGATTTTCTTGCACGAGTCTTTTTGCAATATACTTGTTTAATTTTAATTAAAATTTATTAAGCAAGGTTTTTACTTTGGATATTATCTTATTTTTCTTGGTTAACCATTTTTCCATTTCTCTTCCCCTCCCTGTAGCCCCACCTTTCTAAATAAAACTTTGATTAGGCATATTTTTCACTATATTTCAAGTGCTTGTTTATCACTTATTAATTGCAAATAAAGCACTTTCGGGTTTGATCTCATTAAATTGAGGTATTGGTGTGTTTTTCTGTCTACGATTAAATTCTTACTCTTATTTTATGTAATGGATAGATCCCCAATGGAGCTACCTTTGTCAATGTGGATAAAATCTTGAATGCAAGAGATGGAAGTCCTGCTTTGTTAATTCAAGGTACTGTCATCAAATTGTCCCCATGCCTTTTGGTATCAAGTTTATATTTTCTATTAGGTTACCCTTATCATTTAATCTGTTCAACTTTGCTATATATGTAGATTAAACTGCCTAATAGTTACACTTTCAAAATTTGATCACTTTTTCTAGATGATGGAGGTGGAATGGATCCTGAAGCAATGAGGAGGTGTATGAGTTTTGGATTTTCAGATAAGAAGTCAAAATCAGCTATTGGACAATGTATGGAAATTTGCAATCATTTTATAAGCTTACATTTTAAGCTCTTTCTTCCCTATTGCATTTATTGGTTCACTTGTAGCCTTCCAGATGGAAATGGTTTCAAAACAAGCACTATGAGACTTGGTGCAGATGTCATTGTCTTCAGTCGACACGTGAATAATAGGTTTGGCTCCAAATTTGATGTGTTTTACAAATTGTACATATGAATATCTTAGTATTGGCTATAAATGGTGGTATATCTTTCAACGATGATTAAACGTCTCCATCTCATTGATTCGACTGATGATTGTGAATAATATACTTATATTTTTTATTCTTTTTGTAACTTATTTGATAAAATGGGATTAAACTAGACTTTTTTTCCTTCTTTTAAATGAGGTTCATTTTCCATGATTCAGGGTATCAACGCAGAGCATTGGTCTTCTATCCTATACATTTTTGAGCCGTTCAGGCTACAACAGAATTGTAGTGCCTATGGTAATTTCACTTTCTCATTAAACAGTTTTATGTAGCTTTTATCTTTTTCTGGCTATTGTTTCGTCATTATATTTGGTTATGCGTTGAAGTTAACTTTTTAGTCTGCTTCAAATGCTATATTACCATTGTGATGTTTTGCATGTTCGAGGAAAAAGATGAGCAATAAAAATTTATATCCAGCTGAGGGTATGGCATCTAGCATCATAAAAAAGCCGTCTTAGCATAAATCATAGGAACTTTGCTTTGCCTTCAAAGGGGTGGCCGCATGAAACCTAATATAGTGGTTTTTGCTAGCGTAATTAAAATCCAATGAATCGTGAATGTATGAGAAAGAGCCTGGCAACAAGAGGAGAGGGCAATGAATGTAAATGTTATGATGGGGCTGGAAAGAAGTTTTCAAATCTTTGTTTAGGATCTCAGGTTGTAAATATGTCGAGAGGTTGATTATAATTTTTTTGTGGGAAGGGGGGTCGAGGAGGAGGTTCTTGTTTAGCTTAGTAGGAGGTGGTCTTAAAGCCTATTGACCTTGGATGTTTGGGTATTGGGAATTTGAGATTACGTAACGAGGCTCTTTTGACCAAATGGTGTTTGTCTGTCTTCATTGAGATCGATACATTCTGGTATAGAATGGTTGTTACTAGGTATGATTCTCACCCCTTTTGAGTGGGCTTCAAGTGGGGAGTCGAGGGGCCTGTAAAAACATTTGGATAGCTATCTCTTCGGGTCTTTCTTTTTTTTCTTAATTCATTGGTTCCTCCGTTGGGATGACCTTAGTATTTATTTCTTGTGGGAGTGCCATTTTGCGAACTACCTTTGTGATTGTTGGGTGATGTTTCTTGTTTGTACTGCAGGTAGATTATGAATATAACAAAGCAAGTGGCAAAATGGAAATATTGCATGGCAAGGAGCATTTTATGTCTAACCTTTCCATACTTCTGCAGTGGTCGCCATACTCATCAGAAGCTGAACTTCTTAAGCAAGTAAGATGTTTCAACTGCCTTTTGTTCCCTAATGTAATCTGGATTCTTAAGCTTGTTTTGACATTGAACTACATTGATTTTGTTGTAGTTGCTGTAGAACCAAGATTAGCCTTGAAAGGAATGACTTAGTTTCATCCTAATCCTTTCCCTTTGCGTTGAATAATCTGGAGTTTTTTTTCGATCAAGTTCATAGATTTTCTTTGACAGCATATACATGCAAGATTCTCCTTTTCGTACTCATATCATGGCCGCACAACAGATGAATTACGTTCTTCGCGTTTTTTCAAAGAACTCATGACTTGTAAATTTCCAAACAAGAACTCCTGACTTTTATGTAATAGCGATGGAGGAATATATGTTCAGCATTTTCCTTGGTGACTGCATAAAACACTAGTTTTCTTCTTAATCTTTTTTAGTATTCGATCCTCTAAGAAACATTGTCCACAGGGGAAAAAATTTCTTCGGCAGCCTTCCAGATTGCTATCTGCAATTTTTAAATTTTTTTTATTGTTATTCTTACTTTATATTTTGTTTTTGTTTTAATAAAGAAACAATAGACCAGAAGAATAAAATAACACCTTCCGATCTCATTTTATGTTGAAAGTAGAATTGTTACAAAAGTCTTATTATTGCTACGGCAATTGGAAGTCATGGATTGAACAAGCTCACACAAATTAACAAAAGTTGAACTTATCTTTAAAGATTCTGTCATTGCTCTCCTTCCAAATAAACCACAAAATAGCCTTGACCATAACACCATAGTTATGTCTTTGAAGTTACGCCAATTGGAAGCTGACTAGGACTTCGCTTAAAGCTGATTTTTTATTTCAACTTCTATCCCGGTGGCCTCTTGAAAGAACTTCCTTACCGGCAGCATGTTGCTTTATTTTCATTATTATCCCCATGAACAATATTGCTTTTGATGATGCCTCCCAAGTTTCTTATCTCTTGGTAGTACAAGGGACAGTATCTTCCTTACACACCATTGATTAGGGTAATAAAACTAGTGTCTTTTTCTTTCACTGTCTCTCCTTAACATCATATGAAGGTGTGAAAATTCAAACTAATGAATAATTTCTAGTGTATTTGTGTATGCTCTAAAAACTTGCAAGTTGTAAGGTATGCTGTATTATTTTGCCATTGAACATCTTTAATTGTAAGGAAATATTTTAGCAGCTCTCTAGTACAAACCAATTTTGATGGCTATTTTTTAAGCTATTGAAAGCTTCTCAATGGTGCATCAACATGTGTACATTTTGACTCTGATGGCAGTTTGATGATATTGGATCTCATGGCACAAAAGTAATCATCTATAATTTGTGGTATAATGGAGACCGCAGAATGGAGCTGGACTTTGATACAGATCCAGAGGTTCAACTGCATCCTTTTGTTTTTCTTCTTTTAATTGACTGTTTAATTAATTGGGAGGATTTTTCTATTCTGTGGTAACAGGACATTTGCATTGGTAGAGATATTAAAAAAATTGACACTCTCCGTGCATCGAAGGCAATCTGTGAGCAGCACATTGCTAATCAATTGCAATATTCTCTTCGTGTAAGCTTGAGTTGCAAAATGAATATTACAGCTCCATTTTTGTAGGACTCAAGTTTTGTACTAACACTCGATGCTTCTCAGGAATATTTATCCATCTTGTACTTGCGGATATCGGAGAATTTCAAAATAGTATTGCGTGGGAGGGCTGTTCTGCATCGTAATCTTGCCGATGATCTCAAATTTATCGAATACATTTTGTATAAGCCTCAAAGTGGTGGATTTGTAGAGGTAGTGTTAATCTTTTAGTCATGTTTGTTTGTTTGTTTTTTACTAATCTTTTGTCTGATAACTGCTCCGACCCTCCTCTTTTGGTATATGGTAATGTAGTAATTTTACTATTCAGGGTGTGGTTGTTACTACAATTGGGTTCCTGAAGGAGGCCCCACATGTCAATATACACGGTTTTAATGTGTACCACAAAAATCGTTTGATTCTGGTAAGTTTCCTTTCACTTTTTGTTCTTGACCTTTTTCTAACCAAAAGCATATCATCGTTCCTTCCCCTTCCTCATTTTAACCACTAGAGCTTCTTTTCTTTTTATTTTTTTTTTTCCATTTCATATGTTTCTGGGTGATTTTCTTTTTCTTATTAATATGTTAGTTCTTTGTTTAAAAATGAGTATGGTACTTCTTTTTCAATATTTAAGCTAAATTTTTCTTCATGATCATTGATCAGGCACGCCCATTTCTTTCTCATCTTTGGCACTTTCAGATCTTACTATTTCTCGTTACTTGTGTATTGGTCTATTATTCCATATTTGGTTTTACATTTACACAATGCATCAAGCTAGTTCCTTTTTGTGTCATTTGCAGCCATTTTGGAGGGTTGTGAGCTATTCAGACAATAGAGGAAGAGGCGTTGCTGGTAGGGCATTTGCTTTCGGAATTTCCTTTCTTTTTGACACGTGAGCTGATGATGGTCATTGATATTCGTCTATATCTGAAGGTGTTCTCGAAGCAAATTTTATTGAGCCTACACATAATAAACAAGACTTTGAGAGAACTTCTCTTTTCCAGAAACTTGAAACTCGTTTGAAAGAGATGACTTGGGAATACTGGTATGCTAATTGCTAAAAATTTAAGGCGATGAAGACCAATTTGTTTCCATTTCTGTAATTTGATTAATGGAGGCATTCGTAACTTGGCTTTAGTATTTTTTACGAGTGTTTCGGTCACCCCATCATTTTGCCTAATTATTTGGCAGGGATTATCATTGTGGACTCCTTGGGTATTGTGTTAAGAAACAACTTCGCGTGACATCATCCTCACAGATACCATCTAGCATCACAGTACCTGCTGGTACAGAAAATCCTCACATATTGAAACAATGCTTTCCAGTTACGGTCACAGAGGGTAGAGAAAGAGCACGTGGGAGGTCTGAACAATGTACACTGGAAGCACAGGGAAAATCTAGAGAAGGTACCTAGTTAGTCCAACATCTGTTCATCACATTATTTAATGTCCTCTTTCTATAGTTCTAAAACTTTTTGTTGGTGCAGGAGTATGTAACAAAAGAAAGGCAGATGTTTTGGTAGAAGATGAACAGGTGAAATGGCTTTGGACAAATTATTCTGCTTTTTTTATTATTTTTCACTTTAGCTCATGGTTTGCCTTTCCGTTGTGTTATTCAAGTACTCTCTATGTAATTCATGCAAGTGTAACGAGCACAACCCAAGCCTACCGCTAGTAGATATTGTCCTCTTTGGACTTTCCCTCAAGGTTTTAAAACGCGCATGTTAGGAAAAGGTTTCTACACCCTTATAAAGAATGTTTCGTTCCATTCTCCAACCAATGTGGGATCTCTCGATCCACCCAACTTTCGCTTGGGGGCCCGACGTCCTCGGTGGCACATTGTGTGCAGTGTCTAGCTCTGATACCATTTGTTGCCTAAGCCCACAGCTAGCAGATATTGTCTTCTTTGGGCTTTTCCTTCCAGACTTCCCCTCAAGGTTTTAAAATGCGTCTGTTAGGGAGATGTATACACACCATTATAAAGGATTTTTCGTTCCCCTCTCCAACTAACGTGGGATTGGACTCTTTAGCTTATTGTGTTTTATCAGTAGTAGTTGGCCTTCCTATTCCTATCTATAAACGTCCTATCCATCAAGCTAGTTCTGTTTAGTCAACCAAAGTAGGAATTGATAATCACTTCCTGCAGTGGTTCTTTTCTTTGCATCATATTTTAAATGCACACAATTTGGACATGGCTATTTTTCAACTTTTATATGAGAAACAAATTAACTTTAATGTTTTTTCTTTGCAGTCTGTTTGTGCTAATCAACCGAAAAATCAGCAGGCTATTATTTTGTTGGAAGAAAATAGGAAGCTCCGTGCAAAGTAAGTTAATAGAGGAAGTATATTTTGATGGTATAGAAATAAACTTGTTTAAAACTCACTAATTTTTCCCCTTTTTGTGTAGATGTTCAGACTATGAAAAGCGGAAGGAAGAACTTAATCTCAAGGTATAAAGTGGAACGGTTTTCAAATGATCGTTTTAAACTAGAACTCTCTGTGTTGACCTTGTAGTAAGTTGAAAATATGCTATTGTATGGACTTCTTATCTTATTCGCCAGAAAATTCCTGTAATTGTCACATGTGCAGGCAACGCAAATTAGGAGCGACGTACGGGAAGTCAAACTCGAGATCCAGCGGCTGTTGGATGAGTTAAAATCTATGGAAGCAGTGAAGGTTGAAGGCATTGTATAAATGTACAGTGATTGGGTTCACTTTTTGTGTGTGTTTAGGCCCTTTGGAATTGGATAACATAACCCTGTAGCTAAAAACCAAGAAATATGATGATATAGTTTCTATACATACATGGCCGCCCTACCTTTCTTCTTCCCATGGCCACCTATATGGGACTCCCCCTTCCCTTCATTTCCCCCTCAGCTTTGAAAATAGTTTCCTACAATTTGTTTTTGTGGCTATCGTCTGTCGGTTTCGTTGACGGGAAAATTTCCCACTTGTACAGACATGAAAATCCACCTTGTAATACTAACCAAAATTTCTAACATTCTTGTTACTTATCAGTGTTATTGGTATATATATATATGAATTGGCCTTTTTTTTTTTTCATTTATGGTTTTCATTGTATTAGGGATTGTAGGGATTGTAGGTCTTTTGGTTTATTATTAGAGAGGGTAGGTCTTTGTTGGACAACAGGGAGTTCTGAATTTCGGGATTTCAAGTAGAGATCTATGCCCATTTTGTTTGACATCTTCGCGTTGAAAAGTGAAAATGCACCATTCTCTATCCTCTCTTTTCTTTTCCATCGGGATGAATTTTGAACCTTTGCAGAAGGGGAAATAAATTTTGAACCTTTGCGGAAGGGGAAATTGTTTAGAATCAAATTTAACCGGTTCAAGAACGGGAGAGGAGAGAAGCTAAAACCATACTAAATTAGCCGTGACTCTTATTTTTTAATATATATTTTAAGGTTAAGACTATTATTTAAAATTTTCAAATTCGGGGTATATATTGATTATCAAATTATTTTTTAAATTAAGAAATAATTCTAATAATTTTCATTTACATTCTAACAATTTCTCACTAGATTTGACTTATTAACTATTACCGGTTCATATATCATATATGGTGCTTATATTTTAAATTCCCAATGTTGTAAAATTATACATTAAATATTCTTCCAACATACTTTAAAAGGAAGAAATAAAGTCTGACCGTTGATTTCGACGATTCCCTGGTTTTACGCAAAATTGACGGTTGGATTCCAGAATTAGATTTGATTGAGTTCCGCTTTTGGAAAGGAGTGTCTCTCCATTCTATTGGCACTAAAACGCAACGTTTAAAATTAAATTAAATTTAAAAAAACAAAAACAAAAACAAAGAAGTGCAAGTTGGCAAGTTGCTCACATGACATGGTCGGGCAGGGGCAGGGGCAGGGGCAGTACCCACGCTTCTCGCCGCTAAAGTTTTGCCCTAGGAACTCTGCCTCGTTTCTTACACTATATAAACTCCACAAACTTCGTTTGTTCATATGTTTTCTTCATCTACTTCGCCTCTTTGTTTCGTACACATTGCTTTCTTCGCCGCTTTCAAATTTTCTTTTTGTTTTCAATTTCCACTTTGAATTTGTTCGTTGTATTCTGTTTACGTGCAAAAAACTTCCATCCGCATGTGACATTTGATGGTGGGCATGACGGCCATATTTTGCACAGATCGATTGATCTAATAAAGTAGTCATTAACTCTGCTTTGTTTGCTTCTTCTGAAAGAGATTTACCTAATTTCGTGTTCTTCTCTTTCAGATTTCCCGCATACATCTTCTTCTTCTTCTACTTTATGTTCTTTTTAAGGTTTTCGGTATCGGAAAGTTGATTTGGTATATCCTGAGATGTGCTTTTGAAAAGTAGCTTTTAGACAAGTGGTTGCGTCGTATTCGGTGCAAAGCTTTTGCTATATAATTGGTGCTCAGTTTATGGTTGTTGTTGGCCAATGAGTTTCTTTGGTTAAAACATTAAAAATATCTTTTAACTTTTAAAGTTAAATATATTTTTGAACTTCTTATTTTTTCCAAAAATGTTGTATTGCTATTGGTTGGTGATTTTTTTTTTTTTTTTTTTTGCTATGAAATTATGAAAATTACAAATAATAAATTGTGATTAATTATACATTTTCTCTTCATGGTGTAAAATTAGTAAAACAAATAGCATTACTAAAATTGAATTTTTTCTGGTTATGGTCTTAAAATTTGCTATTGAAAATTGAATTTATATATTAGTTTTTATTTAATGATTTATTATTAATCTTCATAAAAAAAATTCATTTCATAATCGTCTTAAATTAGATAACTGAAACAAAATCATCAATTGTATGAGTTTAAGTGTGCAAAAAAATCTAAAAATGTGAGATCTGGGTTGAGAGGAGAACAATGAACATATTTTTAAGAAACTTAATGTAAAAAAATCTAAAAATGTGAGATCTGGGTTGAGAGGAGAACAATGAACATTATTCTTAGGGTGTTGAAGCATATAGCGGGCACCTTTACAAGAGTGTTAGAGAAGAGAACAACGAAATACTATTTGTAAGAGTGTTGAAACCTTTTCCTAGCATACACTTTCGTAAGAGTGTTGAAATTTCTTCCTAGCAGGCATTCAATTACAAATGGAATTCGAGTCTTTTGTGTCAACAACAAAGAGGCTGAACCTCGAAAGGGGGAGGACTTGAGATGGTGTGTTAGTAATACGCTAGACCCTAGAGATACTAAATTGTGAGATCCAACATCGGTTGAAGAGGACAATGAAAATTCTTTGAAACTTCTACCTATCCTAAAAACTTTGAGGAGAATCCTAGAAGGAAAGCCTATCGAAGACAATTCTCTCTCATAAAAACAAGGAACCATATGGATTCCTACTCATTCTTTATAAGTTAAAATACCATAGTTGTGCATTCTCAACTAATAAAGAGCATGTAATCAATCAAATCACAGTTCATCACAATTTTATGGCCATGAGTATTGAACTCAGCTCAATCAAAGAAGAAAAGAAAAGAAAAGACTTGCTCCATTTACAAGTAACAGAGGCAGCTTCAATCTGATAGATGCCTGAAAGAAGTAATTCAGATACAGTTACTATATTAATGGAAACCAGCAATAAGAGCTCTAATTCTGTCCTCAGAACCAAAAATTTCCTAAAACAGTTCCATAAATATCAAGTCTTGTAGAACATTCCAACAGCGGCCTGAATGAAGAAGAGAAGATAGCACCAAAAGTTGTCCTCTCTCTGCTACAACATTCATTCAAAGGAATTGACAGAGTATGAAAAGTTACAGCAACAATCACCATCTTCTTCAATATTTCATTCTCTCCTTATCATATCATCATCCACAAGTTCCCATGAAAGCATTTCTGCTTGCTGTTAGAGAGCAATATATGTTCCAATGGACATTCTAATGTAGCAGAAGACGAGCACAAAAAATACGATCCACAATTTATTAAGAACTTATTTTGAGCTTTTACTGCAGTGTCGCAGCATTTGACGGGAAAAACCTCATAAGAAAGCTTGAGAGAGACCAGATGCAGATGATCCCAAGAAACTGAAGAACATTCAACAGCGTACCCAGAGAGCTGTTTATTGCCAAGTTATTTGGAGTCATTTCAGCTCCTTTTATGGTAAATGAAAGTGCTGTCACCAGTTGAGCTGCTCTATTAAGTTGATGCAATCTGTAAACCTGTTTAACAACAACTCTTCAGTTCGAACCCCACGATATTGAATAAGGTACTACAAGATGGGCATATAAATTATTCATAGAGGGAAATAGTCACCAGAAATGATACACTAATATACAAATTTTTGCATAGAATAACTAAATGAAGCAAATCCAGCAAGGAGGTGATAGGCAACAAAAGATGTAGAGGGAGAATGATAATCTATGAACATTCTTACTTGAAAGACAATTGGAATAACAGGCCATGAAGGCGATTCCTTGCGCCGGGCGTATTGTTCAAATGCAAATTGGACAACGATGCCAACAAGGTAAGGTGCAAGTGTGGCAGATGCTGCAGGGCCTGTCCATGGCCACACTAACCCCATAGTGACCATAGGTATTATTAAACTGAGTGCTAAGGCAGCTACAGAAGAGATCCGCTGTCCAAATTGATTAGACAGGGTTTGATAACTGTTTCTCACAGTATCGGGTTCAGTAGGCCTTCTTGAACGGTCTATTAAAAAAAGAAACACCGCAACGCCACAATAGAACAGTGCTTCCGTGAAGAACAATATAAGGAAGTCTGCAATCAGGAGATAGTTCGCAGTTTACAATAGAGAATTTCAAATGTCAACTAAAAATTTCCAACAGAGTCAAAGGCTCTAAAGTAAACATTCAACAGAACATGGAACTTGTAAAGAAATTACAGAACTCCTTAGAGATCTAAGAGCACTGCTTACTATAATATCCTTTGTCTTAAATGTTCTTGAAGAATGAATGGTTTTTAAAACATCTGACCTTAATGGCCCTTTTACACAATATCAATAAAAAGCCATATATAGATGGTCAATCTAGAATGTCTCCTTTGGCTTTCATTGTTCTTGCTGATAAGGGGCATACACACAGCCAATATTACTCAATATATATAAATAAGAAACTGTACTGACCTGTCAACAGAGAGTCCTCGAAAATATTTGAAAGTAGTTTCCGTAGATAAAGTGAGGGGAAAATGAACGAAGCTACGAGGACAGCTGGACCAACAAACCATAAGAATTTGTGTTGATTGCTTTGCACGCTTGACAGACGAGTCTGGTAACCTTCTTTAGAATGGTTGTAAAACGAGATGAAACCCGGTTTCCCACCAGTACACTCGTCAGAGTGTAAAAATGAGTTGTTTTCGAGGGAGATATCCTCATCAGTGGGATGCTGATCTATCTGCTCTAGCTCACCCTGCTCACTGCATTGAGACTGGTCCTCTGAAATAGCAGAGAGAATATTTTGCCTCCTTGGAAATCTTCTCAGCAATCCATACATTAACTTGAACGATTCAGCTATCCACAATTACAAAAGCGAACCAAGAACATAATGTTTAGTAGTTTAAAAAACAACATTCGGCATTGGATTTGAACAAAATAGACATTTTGGGAAATAAGTCACAATAGGAATCTCACTAAGCCATAGATATGGTGGTTATGAGAAGTCTAGAAACCAGATAAACCCATTTTATAGCCATTTTGAATATAAACAAACAGCCTGAGGTTGAAGGTAAATAGTAAATGGCATGTTATAATGAATAAAAGATAGTCCTACCCTTAGCAAACGTTAACCTCTGGAAACTACGTTGCTGGCTGCCAATGCCATACAACGCTTGCGAAAAGCCCAGCTGGAAATCAAAATAAGAACACAGAGTCCATTAAATCAAATGATGTCTTGAAGAAAATAATGAACATTTTTAGATGAGATAGCACAAAGAGACAACAACAATTTTAATATCAAAAGATTATCATGTTAGAACCATCTTACTAGTCAGTAGATCTCAAAGCAAAAGGTTACTACAGATAGCAAGGCTCTCAATAAAGATAACAGAATGAGAAATCATTGTAGACAAACACTCAATACGTAATTAATTCAAAATCAGCAGAGGCCGCCTGTGCACAATCCAAAGCCTATCTGGTGTTTGCTTACTACTACATTAAATTTACCAAAGCTTTTTTCTCTAAGCCCAGTTTGTGTTTGCTTCGAAATACATTTCAACCCACAGCGTACCAACTAGCTTTCATACTCCACGGCAGCAATGTTGAAACATGAATTTATAGAACAAATTAACTTTCAGAGAAAGCATGAACGCATGAGAAAGCGAATAGAGAACCAAAAAGCACCTGTGAGCTTCTCCGGGCGCCAGAGGGTGAAGATGGAGAAGGAACCGAACAAGAAAGAGAAGCAAATTTAACAGACATGTCCGAGAAAGAGAAAGAATTAGCACCCAACTCCAGTACTGACTCTAGTAATCCATTTCGATGAAGTCCAATGAGAGCTCGTTGGATTCGAAGTACATTTCATCAATACGCACGACGAAAATCCTGTAGAAAGTAACAAAATGAAGGGAAAGTAGAAGAATTGGATGATTCTTGGAGAATGGGTTTTGGAAACGGGAAAAACAATATAGCAACAGAGGCGCAGCCGCCTCCTTCGGTGTGTCTATTGGAATTGGTAGCCTCAAACGGCGGGTGAATGGAAGAATATGTATTTTTGACCGTCTTATTTCCATCTCTAGTCGCCTATCCTCGATGGGACTCCTTCATTCTCTTTCCCCTTGTGTGGATAAATTTCTTTCTTCTAAATTAGGTCAAATACAAAGTTTATTACACAACATATCTAAAATTTTAAAAATATTTAATAAATTGAGATTTATATATATTTGACACCTAAAAGAAAATATTTAGAGCTTTTAAACTTTCATTCTCGTGGCGTTAAACTTTGTTAAAAGGTTACATTCTCGTTAACTAATTATGGCCTAACTGTAAAAAGATAGATCGTTAGTAGCGAAGAATCGGAACGCTTCTCTAATTCATTCTGTCGTTCAGCAAAGAAATGTCATAGGTACAAGGGTAAAGAGGAGAGGGGAGGTGGGAAAAAAGGAAAAGGAAAAACACTTCAAAACAGTTCATGCAAGTGTTCATATGAGAGTAAGCTACAAAATAAACAAAGTTCGAGCACCCTCCGTCCAACTCCAAAACAGTTCTCTCCTGCACCGTCAAATCTGGCTCCTACTACACTGCTCGATTCAGTTCCACACCATCAACTGTTCAGATTTAGAAAATATTAGACTTTTCACCAAAAGGAAATCCATTAAAAACGAACTGGAAAAGTAATATTTCTTAACGACTTGATCCTTAGATGATCGACCTGCTATGTATATAAACTGGGGTGGCGCAGGTCAAATAAAGAGAATGTATTTGGAATCTCCAAATTATGCTAAATATGATAGGCATCTAATCAAACTGGTCCACCTTGTTGCTTGTGGAAGTTCCCACCATCTCTTCTGGACTGACCTTGGCCCCTCTCCACGTACCTTGATCCTGAATGCTGTGTGGTATCCTTAGGTCTATTATCCATGTTCGGCTTTCCATTATGTGGCCCAACTGGTTGGTACTCGTACTGCAAATTTTGTCTTTGCCTGTCTCTATTAGCAGGTGGATAATGCTGCTGCTTATGATGTTGAGAGGAATTCCTTTCCCGACGAGATTCTGGCCCTCGTCCAAAGCGGTTATTGTTCTCACCGCCTTTATGATAAAATGTAGGCAACGGTTGATCGCGTCTGGTATCTGTATTTGCTGGAGCAACCTCAACGGTATGGATAGGACCTTCGACTGGGGAGTAAGGACGATCTTTGCGGGAGTAAATTTTCTTCTCTACTCTGGCCCCATGAGGACCAACATCTGGTCCTTCTTCCATGACGGTTCTTGCACCAGAAAACCTATCGGACTGATTTTGGGCCACATCATCACTCGTATTTGTGGCATGTGAAAATGGCCTAGATCCAATTTTATTAGTCTGTCCAGCTTCAGCTTCAGCATTTTGATCACCACTAGGCTTGCTATTTTGATGATTGTGGGGCTGAACCATCCGGGATTTGGGTTGCCAATGAGATGTTGAACGCTCCCCAACACCCCGATTTTCTTTGGCAGCAGCAAATACATCTTTTTGATCTGCCCCGAGCACTGAGGATTGGGAAGAATTTTTTTCATCGTCTCCACTTCTAAGTTTCTTTTCATTCAAATCAAAATTGTTCCCTACACCCTTGTGCCCCTTAAATTGGGACCGTTTTCCCCTGCTTGTCACCCCCTGGTCTCTCCCAACAGCTGCAGTGACAACTGGGATAGAGGCTGAGAAGTTGGGATCGTTCCATCCATCGGGTGGATCCCACTCATCAACGTGGCTCGTAAACTCATTGATGGTGCTTCCAGTAGCCTTCTCAGGTACTTGATATTCAGTTGATTTTTGAACAAAACTACCAGCAGCATTTGAAACATAAGATGATTGGTCTAGTAAGCCTTGCCCATATTCTGTGGCTCCCCGTTGGCGCCACGATGCATGTGCCTTGCTTTGTTTATGGTGCCTACCATCCCCGTTTCTGTGATCTGTGGAAAATCCCACATTACCAGAAACAGCACCAGCAGGTCGAGTATTATCAGAACTTTTGGAACTAGAATCTGCCTTATTATCATCTTGCGCCTGGTTCATGGGGAAAATATCTTGATGGATGGTTCCTTGCTGTGCCATTTCCTTGACTACTGGCTTCGGTACATATATCTCTCTTTCAGCTCGCTTGTTCTTTGGCATACTCTGCACTTGATTATCAATCTTTACAGATGAAGTAACAGCCCCAGCTTCATTTTTATGAAGAGTTTCATCCGTAATCTCACATTTGTTGAGAGATCGCACAGGGGCCCAGATAACAGAATCACTCCCATGGATCTTTTCTCCTGGTCTATTTTGAGCATTTCTTGGCATCCTGCGAGAATGCTGAGACTTCCACTGACCGTTACCTTTGCCAAGAGTTTCTACAACTGGTAACAGAGGTAGCTGCTCTCTGGACTGATTTTCATCTCCATTAATTGGCGGTTGTGGATCTGAAGGTGGATCCATTACCGATTGAGAAGCCTTTGGTTTATCATATTCCGTTGTAAGATTTGCCTCTTTTGAAATTTGAGGTGGTGATGCAGATATCGAGGTCTCTTCCACTTTGTGCCTGCTCTTCCCACTCTTGTTATTTTTCTTTCTTGCATGGGTGGAATGTTCAGCAACAGGTTCTGTAATGATAGCACTCGACTCGTCTACAACTGAAATGTCAGCAACAACTGTCTGAACTTTTGAATCCTTAATTAAGTGGGGAATCTTTTCAGTCTTTTCAGATGGAATATTTGGTTTTTGTTTATTTCCTGTACGCTTGTGCTTCAAGGATGCACCGCCCCCATTTACCTCCGAAGCATTCTTCTTTTGGACTGCATCATTAATGCTTGCCTCCAGCTCCAAAGTTCTCAATTGATTATGTGCCACAACCTGTTCCTTACTGCTACTACTTGGTTTCTTCGATTGGGCATCTCCTGATAAAATGGGAGAATTTTTATTAGTGCCCATAGTTGACTCACTATTGTTAGCAACCACGTGTGGATCAGAAACTGTGGTATACTCTCCAGATATAGTACTACCACGCGTGCTTGGGTCATCAAGATTTTGAGGTTCTTGTATCTTATTTCTTATGGCATCATTAGAAACATATTCAGACCACTGATTCAGACCCTCCCCTGCTATTGTACGCCTGTTCAATTCTTCAAGTTTTGCCAGGGCCCTGGCCCTCTGTTTTCTAGTCCTTTCCTCCTCTTCCTCCTGCAATTGTTTGGTGCGTTGCTTTACTAGCTCTCTCATCTTTGTGCGCTGATCAAAATATAACAGAACGATTGTTTTTAGGAAAAAAAAAGTACACAGAAGAACTAGCAACCACATAAATTAAACATATACCTGAGCTTGAGTATCTTTTGAATTACCCATGGATGGAGTAGGTACATCTCCATGGCTATCTGAAGAAAATGACTCAGCCTTATTAATAGCGCCTATAGCATTGTCGTCTCTTGCAAGCACAGAACTTTCCTGGTTGGGAGTTGCCATCATGCCTGGGGAGTCCAACAGAGGTCTTTTATGCCACCCATCAACCTCCCGTGTATTGACTTTTCCTCTGCCATGATGATCACTTCTCCCTTGCATTCCACGATTAGGCCTCCTGCAGATTTGAAGAAAGAATAAATTTGCTCAAGATCTTCCAACAATTTTAATCAAGCAGGACTAGGGCAAACCTGTGGACATGTGCTCCACCGTATAATTTAACATTCCTATCTACAGTGGACAAACTTAATTCACTGGAGCCTGGGTCTATGACTTCATTAAAATCCCTATTTTCAGGAAAAACAGCAGTTGCACTAGCTTCTTGGGCAATAACATGATCAGAGTGTGTATCTTTAAATTGAAGCTCATTTGGCTCCTCCCTCCTGCAAATAGGTGAAACATCATGTCGCACATCAGAAGCCCGGGCTTTGGCATTTAATCCTTCTATCTTCTGAATCAGACTTGAATCTTTTGTGGCAGTTGCCAGTGGTTTGGGAACTTCAGAGAAACCACCACCACCAGCAGCCGATTTTTCTTGCAAACCATCACCAATCTTCGCGTTTCCATGAGACTTGGCTTTCATACTTTCAGCAGATTGAGTTTCTTGGTTGGCAGAAGCCTGAGAATATGGTGCCACCTCCAACGTTCTCCTCAAATCAACTTCTTTTTTATGATCCCAGTCATTCTCCCATGGAGTCATCCTCTGTTGGTCATCCTTCTCAACAATCAACTGATTAGTGGTTGTTGAGATTATCCTATTTTCTTCTTCGTTCTTACTATTTAAGTTTCCCTGCTGCTTCAAAAGAACCTTGTATGGTCCTTGATTATCACAAGGAAGACCAGCTTCTACTTGTTCTGGAACCAGATGGGAACTTGCAGGCTCAGATGCAATTTGGCCTTGGCCCAAGTACCTGTTATAAACAGCAGGGCCAGCAGGGCCAGCTGGTCCAGCAGACATTCCCATAAATGGAGCATCTCTATCGCTTGAATTGCAGTAGCCCATGGGAGGACGGAAATATCCCTCATAGGTAACTGGACCTGGGTAAAATCCAGGTCTAATTGGCATGCCTGGATGAATAAAACCATCATGCATAGGAGGTCTATACATATCTCCAGTTTTAGTATGATGTCCCCTGGGTCCAGTTCCATGAGAAGGCTGGGGATTGGGAAGACCGCCTGAGGGAATATGTGGAGGATAATACAGAAATGGGTCCATAGGAAAATTACCAGGAGCAACTGGAGTTCTATATGGAGGACCTCCTTGTGGAGGACCCCTATACCATACACCACCTTGAGGATTGTTTACTGGAGAACCATGCCAAGCATCATAATGTGGGGGAGGAATATTTGCACCAGGGTAAGGATGGGGATGCCCCAGCCATTTCTCTACACTAGGCCTAGGCCCATCATCGTTGTGCGGAAGATTATCACTTCTCCACGAATTAGCACTTTCAACATTTGTAGTCACATTTTTAGGGTCATCTGAAGTTTTAAGACAGTCCAAGTAAGCAGCTATACTATATGATAAAAGGGCAGAATTTACTTACGGAATAGGCAGGAGGCACGACATTGCAACATCCTGATTTAGAAAAAAAATACCACATACCGATTGCCGAAGTTCCAGTCCTCTCTTTCATTGTAGCTCCTTCACTAGACCTAGTATCTGTGAAACGGGAAATTCATGTCATTTTCAAGAGATGCCCCTTCGTCACTAGTAGGTAACGGAATGTGCTTACTTCAATTTAACAAATAAATATAGAAGAAACTAAAAAAGGCATTATTTGTTAACATGATGAGAACCAAAGAGAGAACTATTCTTGACTAGCCATAGCAACAAACAAGAAAATCATAATAATATCCACTAATACTACAATAGACATCCTATCATGAACTTCTCTGCAATAATGTGACATAATATTTGAACAGCCATTGATATATGCATAGTGTAACTCTTTTTTTAATGACATGGAGCCTTCATTTCATAGATGGTATGGAATTACAAAAGACAGAATCACTGAGCTATAAGAGATGTAAGGCTATAATCACAAAATATGGAGTGAATTTACACATGGCTGGTGTAACTTAAAACGACATCAAGCTGATTAACTAAAGATACAAGAGAAAAGATCAAACTCTATGCAATGGATACTTCAAAAACTCTAAATTCCTTAAGGTTTTTTCAAACTGATAAGAATTGGTATTAAAGGTAACAAGTTAAGAAATTTGTGGCCTGAAAGGAATTAAGATGCATCCCTTTAATACTTAAATCTAAATGAGCTAGCATTAATTTAACGTGGACCAAGCCCAGATTGAGCACCAAACAAGTTCACAAATACAAGATGTAATACAATGGTAAAATAAACTGAGTTCAAGTAACACATAAACATGAACCTCGTGACCCAGCATCCTTTCCTACACATTCTTTCTCAGAACCCAGCGAAGGAAAATCTCCTGATGTCAAAGAAAACCCATCACTCTTACATGGCATCGCTCCCTACATGTACATATAAATTTATGGATGAGATATTTCAGACCAAGCTGTAATACGAAAAGTAAACTAGAAGGAAAAACAGTTGACAATAACTTGCTCCCAAGGATTGACAAGTTTGACCACATTGGGTAGTGTCTAAATCACCTATCTAAAACAGTTATCCACCAAACCCATCTTCTGGTAGCATACATGTAGGCCATTAATATATAAAAATAAATTAGGATCTGGGCCACATATTAAGACAAGCTATTTCTTTACCCCTAGGGTTAACCACGAAGAAAGGGGGACCCTTTCATACATCTCTCATTGGGTCAATCCTTCCAAAAAATTGTAAATATCCTTTTTTCTTAATTATAGACAGCAGAAGCTCTTTTCAGTAAGGGTGTGTTTTTGTCCCCTTTGTTGCTCAGGCCTTTGTTTTCATAGGTTTTATCGTCCTATCATTTATCTTAATAAAAGTTGTTTTTTTATTTTTTTTATTTTTAAGGAAAGATTACATAATTGGGAAAATGTATACAATTAAGATAAATACACAGGCTGCAAGCATCATACCACTTTCTCTATAGTCACAGCAGAATTCCAAGCCACTGGATTTTCAGAAGTCTCTGCAAATCGTGACAATTGTGAGCTACTAGATTTAGTTTCAGCACTGTGAGGGCGCAAGGATGCGAGTGATGCATGACTTAACGTCACAGGCCCAGAGGCAGATGATGGCCTAGAACTCGGACCCCATGCATTAGCATGAGGTTCATGGGACCTGTCACTGCCAGCCGTTGATGGACGAGTGCCACCTCCAGCAGATGAAGGGCGACCACAGAGATGGCTTGGTGAACCAGAAGCACTATCTGTATTTGGAGAACCAGATGAGGAGCCCCAAGCATTCGTTGCAGATGAAGTTGATTTATTGCCCCAACTGAGGGTACCCCTATCAAGTGCGGGGAAATAGACACAATTCAATCAAGCAGACAATCAACCAGGAAACACATAAAAGGGTTTGTGATAGAATGAGTTAGCTAAAATTTTATAAAAACACGTGAAAAAGCTAGAAACAGAGAGTAGTGGCCAAATAAATAATTGCATACTCACTTGGGTACAATTTCCACATTTGGGTCCAAACCATGATTTTCTAACCTGAAGTAAGAGGCATAATACATAGTTTCAAAGAGAAAGCAGTTTACTAGGTTGAATAGGAATATTCATATCTAATAGCAATAAGTCGATGACAACACTGAGATGACAGAACACAACGATGATAATTGATCAACAAAGCAAATACCTTTGACTGGGTAAGTTTATAGGTTTTGGAACAGCAACCTTTCCTAAAACAGTCATCCCACCTCGTCTGGCTGATGTCCACCTGCCAAGTGTGGAAACAATAAGATGTTTGAAGGACTCACTTTAGGCTCCATCAGATAATTACCTTTTCAATACAAAGCAAACATGTTTAAAAATCCAGTACCAATTCCATTTTTATTTCTAGGACAAATTCTGTTACACCAACAATTTTCCTACAAAAAGAGCAATCAAACAACAAACTCTACCACTTGACTTCTGCCTTCAGACTTCAGTGGAGTATTCTTCATGGCTAATTCACATCTTTTTGCGGGGTAAACTTTGCATTTATTTCAGCGTTTATCTGACTTGCCAATAGATAAAAGGTATAAAGCTTCATGAGGAGATTTTAGGAGAATTTCCTTTAAATGGAGAATGCCAACCCCTTCCAATTACCATAATCGTGTCTATTCTGTAGGATAATAAGCTACCAAAAAGTAGATAACGATTTAAAGATACGTTTTCTTTCAGACACCATTAACACACTACATACCATAGTTCGGAGGAACTTAACTAAACCAAAAGGTTTCCTCCCATTCTCTTGCCCTTTCATTGAAGAGTTCCTTGTTCAAACCTCTTTTTCCTTTCTTGCTAAAGACAGATGATCACTCCAAGGTGGAATGCTATTTACACTATTCTTTAAGAGAATAGGAGTAATATTATTTTATGCCTATATTTGAGGTTCTAACGACAACATTTTTTATATAAAAAAAAAACCCTATGCATTTAATTTGGGTAGCTGGAAAACCTTTCTATAGCTACCCTAGCATTGATAGGGTTTGACCCCTAGACATTCCTTCCCTGTACAATATTTCAGTGATATTATTTCCTCTTTTTTCTTAACAAGAAACAGAGTTAACTTTTCATTGATTTATGAAGAGACTTGCAAGTCTCCTATTTTGTTAATGAATAGGTTGAATCCAATCTTTAGCTGTAATCTACCATGTTGTTTATTTTAAAAAATAATCATACAGTTGCGGGGAAAAAATGTCTCAACAATTGTGGGAATAGGAAAAACGTTTGGTGCTACTACTACATATTCATTCAAGGCATTGATACAAGTTACAGCAAACAATGTCAGTAGGTAATTCAGGCGATTTCAGAAAACCTCTATCTATCATCCATGCTTAATGCAGTTGCTCACCCAAACAGAATCTAATTACTGAATGCATATGATGGTCACACTTAAAGGCAAAAAAGAATAGATGAAAACTAGAATTCCATGAATCCAAATGAATAAAAATCTACACTGCAAGTTGCAGTAATACAGCAGGGAAGCAATGCAGTACCTTCTTTCTCCACTCAACATACTTGACGTCATGATTGAACAGTTGTAGCAAGGTCATTCAACCAAATTTATTACAACCTGAGGGCAAATGCCATCAATACGATTCCAAATAATTATGAACATTAATTATAAGATATACAGTGGAAATTTACATGTACATTTTATTTATCCATATTCATCAATAAAGCGATCCAAGTGTTAAGATCAATCGCCTAGCCCAAATGGACTCATCCATAAACAGAACAACAAAGTTCCGTTCTGCTTTTGAACCACCTTAAGATGGAGAACCATCACGGATCATTTGTAATTTCTTATATTTCTATACTAGAATCCACAATATGCAAGATAATCAAATAAGTAATCAGCGCCATTGAATTATGCATTCTAAAAATCGGTCCTTTCATATTGGTGGTAGCCATCATTTTACATTCTGAAGTTTAAATCAATATCCAAATTGAATCTTTACATTTCCAAACTAATCCATCAATTACTTCTCAATGCACGATTGCTTGATTCTTTAGAACAATTCTACTCTTGCTCTGCAATTATTGTGTAATAGGTCACTCAGTTGATTAGGTTCGGGAATCCAAGATCAATGCGTAGGAGATTCAGCTTAAAGGACTTCCCATCACTAAACAATCATTCTTTTAGATTCATGACAACAACATCAACAACAACAACAAAAATTAAAAATAAAAATAAAAATAAAAAATCCAAAAATTAGCTGCTGTATCCAACTGGCTCAAGCTGTGCAACATCGTCTTGAGCTCTCTCTCTCTCTCTCTCATACACACACACACACACACACACACACATTTTCTCTCAGCTCTAGATTGGTTAAAATCCTATAGCCCAAGACAAAAAATTTGGAAGCTCCTCTTTGCATCAAATTCAAATTCATTGTTGCAATCTAAAACTTCACACGTTCTGATTCCCAGAAAAAACAATCTGTCCGTACCAATACTCTATTGACAACGATTCAAAACTGTTCTCACTGACACGATTTAAACATGCTCTATCATCCGGTGAACTCAAACCGAAATGGAAAAAAAAAAATATATATATATATATATATATATATATATAGAAATGTAATCATGGCTACGCAAGTGCAAAACAATTAAAAACTCGATAGAGAAATTTTAACAGGCAATACGAGAAATATAACTAAGTAATAGAACCTATACTGGTCCGGCTTCGACACTTCAAACAACTATGCAAACCCCTAGTGCCTCAAGTAGTTTGCTAATTAATTAAACGTGATTAGAGTCCAGGAAAAGAAAAATAGCTGAATATACAGATACGAAAATTTCATCAGCACCCATACTTCATCCATTTCTTATGTCTCACTAGTTTTCCCTTTCCCAAAAATTAAACGCGCGAAATTTGCTAGGACGATTTTATGATGAAATTTGCGTAGAACAACTTGCCTGAAATGAAACAGGCTTCAAATGCTCCGTGCAAAACCTAGGGAAGAATGGGGCTGAAGGAGCTGGTTGATATTTCAGAAATGGAAGAGAAAAACGGAAGGGATAAGAAAACGGGGAAGAAAACAAGAAATCGGAACCTCAGAATCGGTCGGAGATCGCGATGGGGGTTCCGGCAAGGAGATCTCGGGAAATAAGAAACGCGAACTCGAGAGTGATAGGCCTGCGATCGGAGCGAAAATATATGGAATGAACGGGCGGAAAGGAAGATAGCAGCGGAGGTGTTGGAGGATGGACGACGAGGTGTTTATGTTTTTGCCTTTGCCGTGCCTGTGATAAATTCATAATATTAGAAATTAATAATTCCCATAATTTATTATCATGAGATGATAAACTGTACAAAAATTACTTTCCCATTTGGGCGTTTCACAGTTTTTTTCTTTCTTTTTCTTTTTGTTGTTCAGGTAAACTTAATTTTACTGTGAGATGTCTTATTTATTTTCTTTGAGAGTATAGTTATCGTACTTTGTTCAGATTTCATGTTTTAATAGCTAATATCCTAATTGATTTAATTATTTTTTAAAATGCAAATACGTTCCATTCATTTTTCGCTTAATGAAATTGTACTTTGATAAAATAAAAATAAAACAAAGGAAGACATCATAAAGTAGTTTTGAAATTTGTTTATTTGCTGATTTCAATATTCTAAACTCGAGCCTAGTTTAAGGCACTAATTTTTTTGGCGTCCATATTCATTGGTTTAAATCTCTTACTATTGAGATATGATCTTACTATTGAGATATGATTGTACATTTGTTAAGAAGCTAACTTTAGTATGGCTCGATGGTTAAGACATAATTACCTCTCTTGACATTTCAAGATTTGAATCTTTCAACGATACAATACTATTGTAATATGAAAATTAAACATTCTATAACCTCGTCAATATGCGAGAGTGCTTGCCCACCAAAATTATGTATATGTGTTTATATATATAAACTCATCTTTACGTATATTAAAATATGAGAATACCAAAATTATGTATATGTGTGTTTATATATACAAATTCATCTTTACGTATATTAAAATATGAGAATTAAACCATATGACTTAAAGCAATTGAGATATATTCCATCTCGAAACTATGCAACATCATTGTGTAAATCTATTATTTGCTACAAACCGACGCACTTGTAATTATAATTTAAAGTCATGGTTAGAGAAAAATCATACCAACATCACGTGATTCATACTACTAAAGTAGGAATTGATAGAACATAAACTACTTAACGTCCTTATCCACTTTTTGTGGCCACACCTGTAAGAAAATTCAAGTAGAAAATCGTTGGATTAAATATACAATTTATATGAGGTTGCAGTACTAAAAGTGCTTAGGCAAAATAAGCAAACTAACGAAATTGCATCAGACAACCAATTCTATTCGATCATATATTGTCATCTCATTTATTTTAGGAAAAAAAAGATATTCATAGGCTTTTCATCATAATTTCCTTTTAGAAATGGCAGATCACACATTCTTAATGTAATTAATGAAATTGAAAATCAAACGTTAATGCAAGGCATCTAAGAACAATAAATCAAATGACAAATTTCCTAAAAAGAAGGATGTGACAAAATCAACGACCCCCATTGTGGTTCATTGTAACGGCTCAGATCCACCACTAGCAGAAATTGTGTGCTTTCGCTTTCGAGCTTCCCCTCAAGGCTTTAAAACTCCTCGATGAAGGTTTTCACACTCTTATAAATGGTATTTTGTTCTCCTCCTCAACCAATATGGGACATCACAATCCACCCCCCTTCGAGGCCTAGCATTCTCGCTGGCACTCGTTCCATTCTCTAATCAATGTGGGACTGCCACCAAATCCACCCCCCTTCGGGGCGCAGCGTCCTTACTGGCACACCACCTCATGTCAACCTCCCCTTCAGGGAACAACCTCCTCGCTGGCACATAGTTCGGTGTTTGGCTCTAGTATCCATTTGTAATGGCCTAGATCCACCGCTAGCAAATATTGTCTTCTTTAAACTTTTCCTTTCGAGCTTCCCCACAAAGCTTTAAAACACATATGCTGGGGGAAGGTTTTCACACCCTTATAAATGGTGTTTTGTTCTTCTCCCTAACTAACTAACGTGGAACATCACATTCACATAGGCAGGCAAAAGTTGAGTATATGAACTTTCCCTTTTCCAGTAAATGTCTCTATCTTATGTTTATGTCAGTCGTTTTCCGTTTGCTTATACCGTGAATATTTTGGAGACTATCTAAAAAACAAGCAAAGCTGAGGCTGGGGAGTCACTTTTCTAAATGTTGTTTTCTTTCTATTTGGTGCTTTTGGTTTGGATGGATGTCCTGCATCAATCACTTTTAACTGCTATTATTCGAGACCAAAGTTCACACTGGCAATAAGGGAAATTAATAAGGAAAAATAGGATAAGTCTTCATTTTCATACCACATAGACTCAAATGGAAGAGAGGTCAAGTATGGTCATTTGTGGCGATTGCCATTATCTTTTCATTTTGTTTTATAGAGTCTACTAATGTAAGATGAAAATCCAAATACGTTCCTTTAGGAGAAGGGTAGATATATAACTCATCTTAGAGATAACATTGTTAGAATCGCACAACAATGCATACTCAATCTAGATGAATACAAAAAATAGAAGAGAGAAAATGCAAAGAGGAATATTAGCCGGCAGTTTATATGAATGATTTCAAGTATGTACAATAAGAGAAAATACAGAAAGTACCTTCATTGCCCTAAGGATATATATGGTTCAGTTTACTATACATAGTTTTACCATCTTCTGCACATAAATCTACCCTATATAACTATTGAGTAAACGAACGTGAGTGCTTATGACTTCTCTTTTTAGTTTTACCAAAAGGTCACATGCGAATGAAAATTATTGTCCGTATCCACCATTTCCTTATCTATCTTTATCTAGCCAATGTGGGAAGCCTTACAAAATTGCAAATGGACAAATCTAGATAATTAGAGGGAGCACGCAAATGTGATTATTTTCAAAAAAATCAAGTACACTTGGTGACAATTTAACATGATACAAGAATAAAAATTTACGTGTTTGAACTTCCTTTAGGTGGGATCGCTTACCTCCATACTCCAGTTTTGAACCCATACTTGAAAATCTCTGAATTCCCCGTCATGTATCGAATCAGAACATAGAACTTGAGGGGGAGAAATTCATTCGTATGAAATATTTGCTTCAGCAGACCGTCCCCACCATATTGCAGAAGCAGCAAGCAGAGGACCTGAATATGCAAAATTCCTATTTTCAATAAGTAAACTCTATTCCAAATTAGATACCAATATACATTTCAGTTTTCAATCAGATGTCTGAGAATCATGAGGAATGATATTGAACTCAGAAATTTATTAGTTGCATGGGCCTATTAGCGTTAATTGACCTTCATCTCTGGAGAAATGTAACCCCAACAATTAGCAAAGTGAATATCAAATGTATTCAAAAGAATCTTCTTCTTGTTATGAACAGGTGGAATTTTATAATCTTTACAGTAAGCATCTGACTTGATACTACCTAATTCGGACCTGTTTGTCGAGAGTGACAAAATTCCTCAGTTTCTAAAGATGGCAGGCAGTGTAGCTTCAGTGAAGTATTCCTTTCTGACTGTATCTACGGAACAAAATCTCGCCTTCAAAAAGGAAAAAGATTACAGAAACTATTAGAAATAGGATGTAGGGAAGGGCCTGAAGGCAACAACTCCAAACAGCTCAATAAAATTTAAGTGACCAAATCCTAATGTGTAGTTTTCTAAAATGGTGAAACATCTTCAGGATGTGTAGGGTTGGTGGCCGGATGGAGTAAACTTGAAAATGCAAGATTTCTTCATTGACAATCAAAAGAAGAAAAGTAAACTCAACATGCAAGTGAAGGAATCTATAATTTGAATTGAACAGGGAGATTAGTCAACTTTGCATCTAATATATTTATTAATCTAGATTTATGGCTAGAGCTGAATCTGCAGTTTAGAAATGGAAATGCATACCAGAGAGGCATATGATTTTAATAATGGCTTGGTAAGTTGCCATAGTGGTCTGAACACAGATGGAGCTTCCACAAAGAGGACTTGACCTAGCCGTTTCGGATAGTAGGAGTAGAACACATCAAACTGCCAGAAAAAAAGAGCACAAAGAGATCAGAAGAACAACTGACAAATGACATAGAAGCCATCAAAACACAATATCTCTTGGCCCCGTCCAGACACCTAACCCACCAGAAACTGAAAACATAGAGGGCTCCCTCAGGGGAAAAGGGAATGGGGGGAAGAAAATCCCCTTTTCCACACTATGAATTAAGTTATAGTGCTAATTACTAAATGAAGCATCCTTGCAGCTGCAGGCTACCATTCTGGTACGCATACCAACTAGTTGTTGTCTTGTGGAAAAGTAAAATGCAATATAATTTTCATGTCTTAAAATCAATGATTCACTGGCACAACTATTTTAGCAAGAGCTTCTTCCTGGTAAAGTGAGCAAAAACTTGTGATGCTAAAAAGTGTAAATTGTGTACAGATCATTAGTTCGGCTAGTACCAAGTTGTTAAGATATGAATCGCATCACAAACTTGCAAATATTCTTTCTGAGTTCCCACTATATATTCAGAATGAAAAATTTCAGCTTGTAAAATTACCAAAAATGTCAAGAACTTCAGATCTGCATTCTCAATACTAAATCCTCGCAGATCAATTATTCCAAGTATTTCTTCTTTTCCAGGTGGAAGCTTGCTCAGTGCCTTCTCTACATAGAACACACACAGTTTCTCGTCCTCAACAGGATCATGGACCTGCGGTCAAGTTATTAGCAAGGTCAAAATTCATGTTAAGAGAGTAAATTCAAATAAGATTATACACAAAAACATAATTTTACAATAAAAATAAGAACAAGTTTCACTGAGGAAGGACAGAGGTCAAAGTACACGTCATATTGTCAAACTTCACCATTCGTGGGATAGGTGCATCATTGATTCATGGCCAGTTTATTAGATATTTACCTTTGTAATTTACTGAAATTAGTTCCGGCTGTCTAAGAATTTTAGTTACAGCTGTTATGCAAATTTCTTTCAATTTATTTGTACATGTCTGAGAGATTTCTTCTTGATCAATAAGAAAACAGAGTTTCTCTCAGTTGCAATACAATGCATAAGCTTTCAAATTACAATGACAAAGGAGTAAATCCTCAATCACAAAGGAAGACAATTGTACTGAAAGTGATCTATGGATAATGGTGGGATTGGGTAATTGACTCAAACCAAGAAAATTTGTCAAATATCAATAGATAACTTACCGCAGGTAAATGCTTGGAAGCCACAACTATGAGTACCGGCCGGAGATTGACATCAAGAAACTCATGGATGAATGCCTTCCCAGTTTCAGCCATTCCCTTTACTGAATTTTCAGTCAGTTCATCTACTCCAAATTCCTGACGCCAGTTCTGTTTGAGACAAAGGGACAATGAAATGCATGTAATTATGCAACGCCTTCCATGGCAATATCATTCCTAACATTCGCTAAAATTTCAGTATAAACCATGCAAAACTTTTTGGTGAAGATCAAATAGATGAAGAAACCTCACAATCTTTGTAAGATTTATGAGTTACTTCTCTTATAGTGAATTGGTTTTGAGATGGAACCCCGTTTTTCTAATACATTTAGTTTAGTCTTATTTTAAAAAACAACTAATACAGCAAATTCAGCTTTGGTAACGCCACTTGAACAAGAGACATGCAACAATAAAAAAGTGAGGTTTCAAGAGTATACAATTGCTTTCGTTAATTTTGCAACCGCATCTTCAACAGAATACTTTCGATCCTTCAGAAACCAGAGGATCATCTCTTCATCGTCCCGTCCATTCCGACCAAGAGGAAGACTAGAATGTTCTCTTTCGAGTTTCTCCTTCACTTCCAACACGAGCTGCAACACTTGAAAACATGAACCATAAGCTATCGAGTTTATCATCATATACGTATAAACATATAGGCAACCCAGTCAACCAGACGTAAAGCCGCACAATCTTCAAATAACTGCCAGTTACACATATTAAACGATTGACAGAAAGCAAACACAGTTCTCCTCAGATAAGGGATAGACGCTCGCATGCTAGAATTTTCGCACCGCATTACAGCAAAATTCTAAGGCAACCTCGTGACAAGAAGACGATGGCAGACACAAAATTCATCAAATCACGGACACAAACATAAAGAAGTTCGAAGGCGTAATTTGAATCCAATCATACAAAACTTGACCATCGCATTCTCAGGGAAAATAGGTCTCTCTCGACAGGCAATGTGAGGCAGACGCGAACTAGAAATGGTAGATAATGAGTGGAAGCATGGTACCTTGCGCGATTCATCGGAGCCGGAGACGGAATTCTGAACTGCAAATCTGCGGAATTGAGTAGCTCTGGGTGGAATTGGATAAGTAGTGGGGAGAAGTGGGTAGCGTGGAGTGAGACTGAGACGTACCGCCATTTCTTAAGCAGGATTGAAGATGAACTGTTGCAAAGAAGAAGGCCAGCGAAGGTAGAGATGGGGAGTCGCGCCAAACCAGCATAGTTTACGTATAATTAAAAGATGCTGGGAAATAGTTAATTATTTTTACTGCACTTAATTTAACCATACGTTATTGACCAGAAAGTCAAATATATGGAAATGTTTGCGTAGAACTAAAAAAATAAAAATAACATAATTAACGATAAATACTATAGTTTTATTAATAATACTCTATCATCCACGTAATGGAAAATAAGTATAGGCATACGATAATTTCGAAGACAATAAATCTTCGCAGATATGACAGTATAATCAAAGTAATACCAAACATATATTTATTAGGAGAAGAATTAATGAACCCATTATAAAATATTTAACTTAATTTGATCTCATATCAAAAGAGTTTAGGTATGCATTGCAAAATTATTATTATTATTAATAATTAAAAAAACTAATTATCACTTTTTAGGCTAAATTAATAAAAATACCTTTAAATTTAAATTTTACCTTTTGTATAAAAAAATATCCCTAAGTTTTTTAAGAGTTTCCTTTCAATTTTTTTTAAAGTATTTTTAAAATATCTTCAATTTGTCAAGAGTGTTATTAATATCTAAAAAAAATACCTTAAAAAAAATATTCATAAACTTTCTAGAATAACATTATAGAGTTTAGAGATAATTTTTTTGTCAATAAATATATATATTGACGTTAATAATTTTTTTTTTTTTTATAAAAGTAAAGAAGGTTAATATTACTCCTTAAATTTAATAAATCTTTTTTAAATATAATATTATATTAAGAATATTTAAAAAAAATTAAAAATTTAGAAGATATTAATTAAACATTTTAAAATTCAAATTAGGAGTATTTTTATTAACTTATTACATGGGTTAAATCTTCTGCTTTGACTATTAAATAATTTATTAAACAAAAATTAAATGGGCCTACTAATGGGCCTTCCACAGTTTATAAAATGGTGTCCAGACGTACAAAATTTGATGGACATGGGCCAAATTGGGTCCACGCGTTTTTTGCAAGTCAGACTCACGATGTGCAATTCCTTAAACCCAAACGACCAAAATTAAATTTCAATAAATAAATAAATATTTGAATTGATTTGATCGTTATTTAATAATAATAATAAAAGTATTCGTTTAATAAGTCTTAAATTTTTTAGAGTATATTGCCGCTGTTAGACAAACACGACTCTCCACAACGGTATGATATTGTCCACTTTCAGCATAAGCTCTCATGGCTTTGCTTTGAATTTTTCCCAAAGAGCTCATATCAATGGAGTTAGTATTCCTCACTTATAAATCCATGATCATTCCTTAAATTAAGCCGATGTGGGACTTCCATCATCCAACAGCCGCTTTCGTAAAAATTTAAAATTTTATTTCTTAAAAAAAGTTTGGTCAATTATAAGCAAATTGATCATCTTTTTGAGTCCTAAAGTTTGGTCAGTTTCCTTTTTTTTTCACTTCCTTATGCTTTTATAAGGGACACATAAAACATTAAAATAATGTGAGAATTACTTTTTAAAAAGTCACTCGATGTTACTATTCAGCTGTTAAAAAAATTCATCTGAGGTAATAAACTCATTACTCCAAATTTTTATTTATTGGTCTCAGTAATAAATAAGTGTCTAATTTATTTATTTATTTTTAATTGAGTGATAGTATAATATATTTATTTATATAATATACTTCTAAATAATTTTTCTAAGAACGATGCTTTGCTTTCCTTTATTTTCAATGTAATTTCTTTTTCTTTTGAAAATATGGTTTCTATTTAAATAAAAGTTCAAATTATTGACTAGCTGTATATATTAATGGGGCCCAGTCCTTGTTTTTATATTAAACTTTCATTTTAAAAAAAAAGAATATTTAACTTTCAATTTAATTAAATATAGTTTTTAGATTTTGAATAAATGCGGCTGTTTTCACTTTTTTGTTACGTTTATATTACATTTATTCGTTAATTTTGATGCTACAATTCATGGATTAAAAAAAAAAAAGAAATTACTTTTCAAAATCATTTTACTTTCAGTAATTTTATTTTAGGCCTCAGTTAAAATTATTTAATGCACGTTGAATGATATTTAATAATTATTCAAATGGAGGTCTAACATGAAGTAAAAATTACAAACTAAAATTATATTTAAATTGTTTTTAAAATTTACATTAATTGAAAATCGATAAATATAAATAAAATAGATGGGCAGGCAGGGCACGGGCAGGGCACGGGCAGGGCAGCTCGGGGAACCAAAAAGGAAAGGGTAGGGCTGCAAAATCCTGCCATGTGCTGTAAATATTGAAAATTAAATTAAAAGCCCAATTCGAGAGTGAAATGAATCCGAGTAAGGCCCCTTTGATAAGTGCTTCCTTAAATTCAGATTTGTACCATTCTACTAAAAGAAATAAAAATAAAAATAATATTATTAATAAAACTTTATTGACCAATTGGCAGAGAAAAAAATATTCACTACAAGGTTATGAGTTCGGGCCAAATGAGACAATATTTGCTAGCTATGAGTTAGATGTGGTGTATTGACAATAGGCTAAAGCTGATAAGTTATATAAGAGAATGCAAAATTTGAGTAGGGATAGATGGTAGGCTATTGCAAATGGTATCAGAACTAGACCGCAATGTTATTCATACCTGTTATTTCTCCAAAGGACGATGGTAGATGGGCTTGAGCCGTTGGAAATGATATCAAAGCCCGACACCCGGCAGCAACTCAGTTGCTTGCCAACTAGGTCAATTGCATAAATGTTTGTGTGATAGAGAAGAGAGAGAAAATTCCTAGAAAAAAAAAAAAAAAAAAGGAAAAGGGAGTGTACTGAGAGAGGAGGCAGTTTTGCAGGTGAAATAATAGAACATTTAAAAAGGATTCAGGCGGAGTTTGTCTGGTTGAGTCCCGCCTCTGTTTCCACCATTCCCAGAATTCTGTAAAAGCAAAGTCACAATCAAACCCAGACCCAAACCCACCTCAATTTCATCCATCTTCTTCACACAAACACAGTTCATCAAATCAAATGCCCATGTCTACTTCTCTCTCTTCTTTCTCTCTCATCCCTGCAATAAAGAAAAAGAAAAGAAACCGCATCTTTTTTTTAGTTTCTCGAGTCTTTTGACCAGTTTCCTGTTCATAAACAGACAACCCACACCCATCTGGGTCCTTCCTTTTTCTCTACTCTCCAATTTCTATGTCTGTCAGAAAAGCGCCATTAACGAAGCCAAGATGCTCTTCAAACCCAGAAAAGCTATATATTAATCAAGGTTGAAAATGGCGGATTCGTGTAAAAAAACAATTCATGGGTTTTTGTTCCTGAAGAGAATGGTTCGTTCTGTTTTGTAAGGACACGCAGAGAATTCGAAGCAGAGGAGGAAGAAGCCAAGTGTTAAGTTAAGAAGCTCTCTGGATTTGTTGCCCTAATACGACAACCCCAATACGTACAAACGCACGTATTCTTCTACCAAAACGACACCCCAAATCATTCCCTTAAACTGGCCGTTTTCCATCCCCTTTCTTCCTCTCAATGTTATTAGCGGCTTTTGTTGCTTTATTTCTCCTCGCTTCGACCTCGGCGCCGCCCATTGCGGCGGAGAGTTTCATACCCACCGCCGAAGAGTACCAGAAACTTACCGGCATTAAAGCGTACTTGAAGAACATCAATAAACCCCCCGTCAAGACAATTCAGGCATATTTCCCTCCCCCCCTCCGTTTGGCTGTTTTTTCTTTATATAGTGAATCTTTGAGAATTTGAGGTTTGCTGATCCTTCTTCGTTTTCAGAGCCCAGATGGGGATTTAATCGATTGCGTGCTCTCTCATCTTCAACCTGCTTTTGATCACATTAAGCTCAGAGGGCAACTCCCATTGGTAACCTAATTTCTCTGTAATTTTACTTTACTGTAAGCAAAATCGAATATAAGAAATTATATTTCAATTTCCAGGATCCCCCAGAAAGGCCAGAGGGTTTCAACTCCTCCGCCGGCTCTGTTGCAGAGAGCTTCCAGCTATGGCGGCAGACCGGTGAATCATGCCCTAAAGGAACCGTTCCCATTAGAAGAACTACAGAACAAGACATTTTAAGAGCAAGCTCTGTTCAAAGATTTGGAAGAAAGCCAATAAAATCTGTCAGAAGGGACTCATCAGACAGCGGCCATGAGGTCAGTAATTTCCTCTTCTTCTTCTTCTTCTTCTTCTTCTTCAAATTCCTTCAGTTTAAGCATTAATGCAATGAGATTGATTTGGTTGTCTGTTGCTTGATCTGGGAATCAATACAAACTAAGAAAATGGCCAAATTTCTGAGAGTTTTACTTCCAATTTCTTACAGCATGCTGTAGTGTTTGTTAATGGAGAACAATATTACGGGGCAAAAGCCAACATAAATGTTTGGGCACCCCATGTGAGTGATCAATATGAGTTCAGCTTATCTCAAATCTGGGTTATTTCTGGATCATTCAATAATGATTTGAACACCATTGAAGCTGGTTGGCAGGCATGTTTTTCTTTGTTTTTCTCTCAATTTGCATCTGTTTGTGCTGAAACTTCCTGAAAATTTTGTTTATGGTGGTTTGATCAGGTTAGTCCTGAGTTATATGGAGATAATTACCCTAGATTCTTCACATATTGGACGGTCAGTTCAAATTTACAGTACATGTTTCAAAAGATTCAGGGGAAAATGAAAGAGAAATCTTGTTTTTTCTGAACTTGTTTCACTTTTCTTGTGTTCTTCAGACAGATGCATACCAAGCAACAGGGTGCTACAACTTACTGTGTTCTGGGTTTGTTCAAACTAATAACAAGATTGCCATAGGAGCTGCCATATCTCCAAGATCTTATTACAATGGCAGACAATTTGATGTGGGTTTAATGATTTGGAAGGTGAGCTTTCTTCAATATCCAATGAAATCCCCCCCCCCCCCCCCCCCC